TTGTCCATGCGATCAAACATCTGAAAACCAGTTATGTTTATCAACGAGAAGTGAAAAGCGGTCAGATCGACATCTTCCATTTCCTGAAATAATGCACCATCAATGTGCTTTAAAGCATGCGAGACCAGCGAAAAACGACAGAAAAAGTTGTTGCCGATCGCCGAAGTAGATCAATGCTCAATCGCGCTGCCCGCGCCCAGAGCAGTTTCATACGATTTTTATGGGATTACAATTCGCTTCGCGTACTGCGGCGGTAAAACAGCAGTTAACAAAACATCAAGTCAAAACAATTTGGCTCCGTTCTATTTGTCATCCCATGTATCAGTTTTATTTTATTTTGTTTGTTTTTTATTCCTATGCTGATTATCTCGTCGGTTCTTCGTAGGCGTGCCCACGAGCTCATGTTGTGAGTTCAGAATGAATTTGCATTGTTTTGCTCGATTTTTTTGAACAAGGTATGTATTACAATTAGTTGCATCGCAACTATTTCAAAACCGCTTCCTAACTCAGTGATGTAGCTTGGTTTTGTTCCCGAATCGAACCCATAGGAATGGAGGGCTTGGTTGGCCTAGGCAGGTACTGATCCGGTATTCGAACCCGTGACCCTGCGTGTGTGGTAGCGCGCCACTTGCCAGTACACCACCTCCGTCTTTGTCATAATTACTCAGTTACAATTTCCCAAACCAGTCTCTGCCGCAATGACGAAGACCCAACGAGGCTCTTCTACATTGAAGGGCTCGACTCCTGTATAGGAGGTGTACGGTAAGCTTAGAAAGGGCGGGTTACGAAATATAACAGTTGCTGGAACCAAGTAGACAAGGAAGCTGGAGATAGAAGACGGTAATAAGACTCTCTTATACGATCATTTTTCTTCATATATATATTCATATTTGTGTATTATACTCATACGATCATCATTTCAAGGAGGGAGAAAAAGTCAAGGAACTCGCCAAAATTCCGAAAATCAAGATAAAGGCATTTGAAGAGGAATCCTACGAAGACACCCTTCTCAACAAGCTCAGCCGCTTCTAAACTACACTCTAGGAGACAGACTCCTCGCATGAAGCAATATGTAGTTAACATCACCGAAAGAAAATACAAGATCTTCAAAGGAGCATCGGAGACAGCTCCGAAAATCAAAATCAAAGTGGTAAAACGATTAATGCAGCGATCTCCTTCTCCAAGTATAGTTAGGTGCTATCAGTCGAACACACGAAGGAAATGAAGTAATGAAGATGCTAGCAAGACATAAGAAAGTGAAGGAAATTTATGATTATTGTTTGCCACAGCGCCATCAGACACCGTATTAGGCTATATGCAGCTGTTGCTGGGTGGAAAACGAAGGGCATAACATTACCAAGCGCGCATTGAGCCCATTATGAAGGGCTGAAAATTCCGTCATAGACCGACCCACTCCTCAGGAGTGGTATATAAAAGGTACTCTAGAAGGTAAGGTTTTTTCTAAAGTGTCCCACGAAGTACATTATAATACTCGATAGGTTTCGTCCTACGGTTGAGGTTCATTAACCTAGGTTTGAGGTTGCCATTTTGACAGTATTGAAGGAACAGCGATGGACTAACGTTTTTATATTACAATTTGATATCTGGCGATATAGTAAAACCTCGCGTGGCAGCACGCAGAAATCAAGTCAATGGGAGAGACCTATGCGAAAGAGGTAAGGACTCTAGTCCAACCTAGTCAAAACCTCAAATATGTAGAGCTTCCCGTAGCAATACATCAGTCAAAGCTTCTATTTTCCCCAACGTACTCTTATATCAGATCGAATCAGAGTGTTGGAACCTGATAACTCAAACTGTTACAGGTAGGCGATTTGATTTTCGGAGCATGCGATGGCGTTGCACCCCTTGACACCGCCTCACCCTATTTAAAATGATCACAGATGATCATAACGCATCAGTGGCACTATGAATGATAGAGCAAGATTAAGTAGTTTCTCAATCCGTAAATCACTTGAAAATTCAAGAGAAACTTACCAGATTTGCAAAGACGTAGTGGTAATCCTTCCTGACGAGGACGCTCTCTTCAAGTGCTCTCAGAAACATTCTCATACGATATCCTCCTTCCAAATCTACTACCACATGCACTGGGCTGGAATGCATGCTCTCTGCTTTGAAGTAAAATGTGTTCATGAAAACCTTCGTACTGTATCACATTCGCTTCTTCCCCTTGGGAGACGTTTCCCTGAGAAAGAGACATCCGTCGGTGGAAATCGTTGAGGAATTCGCGGAAAAACTCTTCATCAGTAGGAGCCTGCAAAACAAAAGAGATCACTGGCAACGTAATCTTTCACCTTGGAGCTTCTGTTTACGAAGCTCATTTACTCAGAAGTCTTCACTCCAAATCAACTTCGACTGCCCGGCAAAGGATTAACAAACTAAGGAGACCGTTCGAACAATACTTACCCTGAAGTTGTCCACAAAGAGGTTATAATCGGGACTGTTCTCATTCAGGTACTCAAACATTCCATGCAGCGTTCTATCAGCTGAAGTAACCACCCCAACTTTCTCCTAAAGAATGGCGTTATAACTGTGTCACTTACCGTTGGCCCCGTCGTGAATGTATACTATATCTTTCCATCCCTTGTGAATGATATAGTCTACGAGTAGATGGTCCACCAATGGTCTGACCGAAAATGTCATCGGCGACCGCTTCGCATCGGCTGTTCTTACGTCAGATACCTCCCAGTCTACCAAAGGGACCTGAAACTCAGTGGAACGGAAAGTGGCAGTAAAATACTCCAATTAGGTCAAGAAAAGTGTCAAATGTTGCTCTTGATTTTGTGATTACGATCGTCAGTAAGTATTTCAAAACTACAGTGTATGGATTGTATAGGGAAGAAAGAGTCCTCCGGAAATTTCTTGGCAGTACAGATTTTTTATGCAATGCTCTGGAAAATTCTTTCAGAAATTTTACATAACGACATTGCCCACTTATATGCGGATAATATACATATAACCAGCTTTATTTATTTTTAGACTTAATTTATTTATTTATTTATTTATTTATTTATTATTTAGACTAATAAGGGCCGAATCTTTCATTTACTTATTTAGACTAATAAGGGCCGAATCTCCCCCCTTCCATCCGGCAAGTACTCTTTATTTAAACGTATGTCGAGTGTTCTGCCTTA